TAAGTCGTTGCTGTGGCATGTTATAGCCCATTGCGGCCCCATAGCTCACGGTGTTCTATAGGTTGGAGTACCACCGTCCCTAGCTTCAATCCCGAGGATATCGTCGCGAACATTCGCCGCCTCATGGACGGGCAGGAGCAGGTGCCTATGCTTCCTTGGTGGCGTGGTTTCACAGGCACGATCAAGAAGACGGGCGACAACAAGTACGATGTGCTAGGCGTGGTCAAGAAGCTTGACGACTTGACGGTCGAGATCACCGAGTTGCCCATCCATAAGTGGACGCAGAACTTCAAGGCCGACCTCGAGGCGATGTGTGGTGAGAAGGGCGACGGTCCTGTGAAGGCAAGTACTGTCCATGCGGATCACCAGCAGGATGCTCATTGTCTTGTCTCTCTGTAGGACTACAAAGAGTACCACAACAACATGAACGTGCACTTCGTGATCACGATGACGGAGAAGGGCATGGAGCAAGCGGAGAAGCAGGGCTTCCACGAATTCTTCAAGCTGACGACTAGGATCAACACCGGCAACATGGTCTGCTTCGACTTCGACGGCAAGATCAAGAAGTACAATTCGGCGGAGGAGATCATCGAGGACTTCTATCCCAAGCGTCTGGCGTACTACCAGAAGCGCAAGGTACGCGCGCCACCACCACCCGCTTCCCCGCGGCAGGACTCACGGTTGACGATGCGCACAGGACTTCTTGGCGAACGAGCTTCAGACGCAGCTGGACCGTTTGAACAACCAGGCTCGCTTCGTGAAGATGATCGTCGACAAAGAACTCGTCGTCTCGAACAGGAAGAAGGCAGACATCGTCGCCGAGCTTCGCAAGAAGCAGTTCCGCCCTTTTCCCAAGGTGGCCAAGGCCAAAGTGCACGGGGAGACCGAGGACGTCGTCGAGGATGACGACGGTAGTGACTTCGAGGGCAACGTCACTGACTACGACTACCTCTTGGGCATGGCTATCTGGAGCTTGACCAAGGAGAAGGTCTGTTGGTATATATTATGTTCGTCTCGTAGACGCTGATATCGGCCGTACCTATAGATCGACAAGTTGCTCCAGCAAGCCAAGGAGAAGGAGGTCGAGCTGCTCACCCTCCTCGAGCTCACCCCTATCCAAATCTGGCAGACGGATCTCGACGCCTTCCTTGAGCAGTGGAAGGTGAGTACCCTGCAGCCGCTCGTGTATCTCGCAACTGACTCGGTGTGGTGCAGAAAACGTGCCAGGACTGGGAGGAAAAGCTATGCTCCGCGGAAGCGGAGACCACCGGCAAGAAGGGCAAGAGGAAGCAGACGAAGCTGCCCTTCAAGGAGCCCAAGAAGCCGAAGGCGGATGACGATGATGAGGACTTCAAGCCAGGAAAGGCGACGACTGCGAAGTCGAAGAAGGCCTCCGAGACCGCGAAGAAGCCTGCGTCTGCTGCGCCAGCCGGCTCGAACGTGGTCATCAAGAAGGACGACGATGACGACGACGACGCTATCCCTCTTCCTCCCAAGAAACGCCCCGGTCCAGCCAAGAAGGCAGCGCCGAAGGTCGAACCCGACTCGGACATCGAAATGATTGAGCCTCCGCCAAAGCCTGCAGCCAAGAAGAAGGCGGTCACGAAGATCGAGTCCGATTCCGAGTTCGAGACTCCGCCATCATCTAAGGACAAGGGTAAGGGCAAAGCCAAGGCTGGCTCGGCGACCAAGCGGAAGAGGTAAGCACTACTGACTGCAACTTGGGCGTCCTGGCTGACATCACGACTACAGCCCAGACGTAGAGGTTGACGACAGTGACGACGACATGTACATCAAACCTGCGCCGAAGAAGAAGGCCAAGGCATCTCCGCCCGACGGCGACGATGACGACGTCATGGAGGTCTCAGCGCCGGCGAAGAAGAACGGGAAACAGGCTGCAGTGACCGACTTCTTTGGCAAGGCCGCACCGGCGGCTGCTCCCTCAAAGCCCACGGCGCGCAAAGCCTCATCGGGCAACAAGGCAACAGCTCCGGTCAAGAAGCCTGCGAAGAAGACGGTGGTATCGGACGATGACTTTTCGGAGGACGAAATCGTTCCTGCACCGCCCAAGGCGCGAAGCGAGGCTCCCAAGCGCGCGACAAGAGGGGTGGTGTCGAAGTATGTCGAAATCACGTCTGGAGACGAGGACGACCAGGGCTCGGATTTTGAAGACTTCGACTAGAGGGTTCCTTCGGTGATACCAGACTTCGCTCCTTCCTCGTTGCACTCACATCTTGTCTGCTGGTCTCATTTGTATTCTTATTCGCCTCCGTGACAATGTGTTCCGCTGTGTATTCCCACTGACGTCCGCTGATATCCTCACCCGTCTAATCCATCCTGTTTCATATTGCATCCTAATACATCCACGTTCCCCAGGACGGATGGAGGCCCCTGGCGACATCACAGTATGCGACGCAAATAGTCCCTGGCATCCCATGTTTACCCTGACTCTCTAGGACTTGGTTGAAGGCTTGAAGTCCTTGAGCCACGCCTTGACGAACGCGATCTCCTGCTCATGAATAGCCTGGATCTGCGGGGGCTCGGCGCTGTGGTCCGCGAGACCGTTCTCGTCGTAGTGGTGCACACCGCCTGGCGCGCGCACGCCAGAACCCATCAGACCTGGTCTCATCACAGGGAGTCCGGGATCGGGATGAGCTCACCAGGTATCAGCTTGAACGGCCGGAGGGTCGTGTCGGGACGCCAGTGCGCCGCCGGGCTATGCGGGGTGTCGCCTCTCCAGGGGTCATCTGAGACAGCGGATGGGCGTTAGGGATGGGACCAAGATAGGTGTTTTGAGGAAAACGCGTACCTTCGCCGTCGATGATCGCGAGCCGGTCGTATGCGATGTTGTAGCCGCCGAGCGAGTTCACCGCGGTGATGTTCGGCTCGGCGGGGACTTTGAAGTGCTCCCCGGGCGGGTAGGCCTGATCGAGCCGATAGGCGGTCAGATCGAGTCATAGAGGTGAGAGGGAACGGAGCAGACGTACGAGCTTGCAGATGAGGGAGGCGTAGTCCAGAGTGATAAGCTTGGAGATGATGCGCGGGATGGCCGGGTTGGGCGGAGGAGTCTACGGGAGGCGACGGTGAGAACCTCGCTCGAGAGCGAGACAGCGCGGGCGGCCGGCGTACCATGAAGAAGCCCCATTGGGTGCAGACTTGAAATTGCCAAAGCCGCCATGTCTGGGACAGGTCGGTCGCGAGGTAGGAATCCTTCGCGGTGATTGTCCCAAAGCACTGAGAGATCTCCGTGAGACATGGAACTGGAAGGATTTCGCGCGGTCCACTCACCTCGTCCTGGGTGTTGGGAGGGCGGCAGCTAGCAACGTACGTCTAGAGATCTGCTCAGCGACACCGTGCCATGACCCAAACAATGAGCCTTACCCTGTTGATGTACTTTGCGTAGTTGAATGTAGCATTGCTGATAGTGATGCCCTGCGCGGTATGGACGGTCGCCTTGTCCGGAGTGCCCAGGGCCGCGCAAAACCGGGCAAAGGACGTGCTTCCGACAGCGGGATCCCAGTTGTTCTCCTGCCACGCGCCAAGGGGGTTCTAGGCCAGAATTCAGCCAATGGCCCACCCCCGCGCGATCCGCAACGTACGCACAGATAACAGCGAAGCAAAGTCCGGGTCATAGGTGAGGTTCCCCAGCCCGAAGACGGCCTTGATGGCGTGCCGCGTCTCCGCCTTGGGGCTCGTGATGAGCCGGTCGACCTCGTCGATGGTCTTCTCGACCTGCGCGATGCAATCCGCCGGGGCGTACTGCCGGATGATGTCGAAGTAGCGCCAGTCGTCGAGCGTCGCGTGCGTCACGCCGCTGGACGAGATGGCAGCGAAGACGAGATCCGGGTACAGGACGCGCATATGCGCGGCGCGCGCGCCGCCGTAAGAACCCTGCGAGACATGTGGTGCGTGAGACGATTCGCGCTCCGCCGGCGGTGCTCGAGTGGACTTACGCCGTAGTATATCCACGGCGTGCCGGGAGCCGTGAGATCGCCCGTAATGCTCGGGAAAGTGACGTTGTCGATGAAATTCGCAGAGTCGGCGGCCGCTTGCTCGTTGTTGAGCCACCTGGGACAAGGACGGGGGTATCAGTCGCGCGCCATGCGGTATACGGCAGCGTGCCAGGCACTGTACCTCAGAGAATCGGTGGTGAAGTTCTGCACGGGCACGGATTCTCCTGGGGATGTTCGTGAGCAGGTGTGGGTCTTGTGACATGAAATGACGCGTCGTGCCATAATATCTGTGCTCGAGCACGATACCGAGACCGTTGGTGGCGTTGGCGAGGATGTCAACGATGCCGGTGTCGAGGATGGGCATCCGCTCGTCGCCGGGACCTTCACCCGCCTCGAAGACGATGACGGGCCCACCGGCCTTGTAGTGGCGGTCGTCGAGCCAGTACCGCTGCTCAAACGTGAAGCCCGTGTCTACGAAATGGTCAAGAGGCTGCGTGAATGTGTAGACGGGGAACGTCGCGCTCTGGCGTTTTGCAACAGAACGAGACTGCTTCGCCTGCGCGTCGAGTTTGACCCACTGCGGGTTCGTCGGGAGGCGGCGAGCCTGTGATCCACCGAGCTGGAGGAGGAGGAGGGTGAGCGCGCCCAAGCCCGCGAGTCCCGGCTTGAAGAAGGACATGGCGACGTCGAGGAATGAAAGCACGACGCGCGGGTGCTACTTTTATATTTTGCTCTCGAGAAGCGCGATACCGTTGATCTCTGTCCAAGGACGGGATTTGATGGTGTTCACTGGTTCAGATCAACGGACCACATGAGTCCCGCCGCGTCTTCGGCGTACTGCGGCTCTCCGCGCCATCTTGCAAATTAAGCATGTCGCTTTCCCAGCATGACCACTGCTGTCATAAGACTTGTTGGTTTCTGAAGGGAATCCGTGCAATGCCTCCATGCATGTGGTGTGTGCTCAACCGTTTCGAGCGAAATCAACAGGACGAGGCGGTCTCACCCTGGCTCGCTACTATGAAGATTCACCAGAAGGTATTGAGCGTGTGCCCCATGGCTGAGTTGGTTACAGCGTCCGACTGTTAAGAATCTTGTTGATTTCTAAATGTGATCGGAAGGTCGTGAGTTCGAGCCTCACTGGGGCAGCGTCTCGTTTTGTCAGTCTCCTCGATGCTCGAGGCATCCTATCATTGGCATTGGTTTGTACTCGCTGCCCAACTGGCGCCACATGGGCTGGAGGGTGAGAAAGATTAACAATCACAGCTGCCTACTACTGTAGTACCTAACACACCCTTCCCGTGGGTTGGGGTGGTCCGGCAGCTCTTTGGTGGCCTGAAGCATCCTGTTGAACATCGCCTTGTCTTGGTCCGAAAACACAGTCATTGATGTGAGCATCCTACTTGTTAACGCGATGGATTGTCTAGAGGTGCCGCTCGTGTCTGCCCCGTGGCTGAGTTGGTTACAGCGTCCGACTGTTACTACATCAATGCAGGACCTGCCTCGTGAGGTGGGTTGAGTCGTGAAGTTCCATCGGAAGGTCGTGAGTTCGAGCCTCACCGGGGCAGCATCAGAGCCAGTGTATCATCCCCTTGAACCCTTTTTGCCTGTACAGCTTTGAGCTCTGCGAGGGACGAACCTGCTGAAGTGGTTTCAGCAAGTGTGTGCACCGCGGCGACTGTAACGAGCCGCCGTGAATTCAACATCGATCAATGACAGCCTGAGCCGATAACGCAAGCTTCAAAAGTTCCGTGCAAGTGGCACATAGTAGCTTTTTACGCATCTGAGGCTCACATTTCACCATGCTCCTGACGGAGGCTCAGGGAGTAGTGAGTCTATAGTGAGTGCTGGCAGTCGGCGGTGGATGAGGATGATCACTACGGTTGCCTGTTCGGGTGAGGCACTTGCGTGTAAGCGCTCATCCGCAATTTCTGTGCTCTGCCCGGCTCGTGCCTCCGACGACTGCCCAGCACCCATCCCGGCCATGCTCGCTCTCCGCCGTCTGCCTCGCTTCACTCCCAGACTAGCGAGCATACGCGGGAATGCAACTCTCGACGCGGCCGCACATACCCCGGCGGACACCCCTCCACCCCCGCCCCCACCTCCCGCTGCGGCGGTGACGGCGCAAGCCAGTGCGGCCGAAGGGAAGCAGGCGGAGGACGGCTCTAGGGACGCGAATGCAGACGGAGGATCTCAACAGCAGAATGGCGGGGGACGGCAGCAGCCTGCGCAGGGGCCGCGCGAGTGGTGTCGGCCGATCGCGAAGGGCGTCGAGCCGGCGTACGACTACGCGTTGCGCTATATCCTGAAGGACGCGGCGTTCATCCGGAAGGAGCTCGAAGCGCTGCGGGCAGAGCTGGAGGCGGCGGAGAGCAAGCCGGAGGGCGAGCGAGATGAGGCTGCGCTGCAGAGCATGCGTGAGCGGGTGGGCATTCTGGAGATTCAGAGCGAGGTGAACTTGCCGGACGTGAGGTGGAAGGCGAGGAACGGCATGGGTGCGCATTCATTCGGGATACTCTGTTGTGTTGTTTGCTGAAGTGCGTACAGCGGACATGAGCAAGCCGATCTACAGGCATTTGGTGGAGCAGCGCTGGAGGGAAGAGGGCGACCTGGACCTGCTGGTATGTTGGTTCCTCGATTCTGCTACACGGGGCCTGTCCATGACAACTGCCCTCTTTCCATGTAGATGGAGCGTATTTACCAGATGAACGTCGTGCCCGACATGCTGCCCGCGCTGCATCCTTCCTTCGACCTGCGCGTCAAGTTCGCCGAGCCTCCTCCGAAGAGTAACTATCTGCGCACGCGTGTGAAGCGCAGCCTGAAGGAGGTCGAGCCTGGCATCTTCCTGTTCCCCGAGCAGGTACGCCCTCCTCCACATGATGATACCCGGAGCCTTTGCTGAACCCTCGGCCCCGTTGGCAGACTCGGAGACCACCAGAGCTCTCCATGACGCTGTTCCACACGGACACGCGTCTGTACACCCTGCTGATGGTCGACCTCGACGTCCCGGACCCGGAGAGGCAGTCCTTTACGACATACCTTCACTGGATGCAGTGAGTGCATTTCCGGCCGTTACGCGTTTCACCACCTCATCACTCGAATCTAGGCCGAACATCCCGTTGTCCGCCTTCAGGAGCGCCCCGACCGTCCCCCTCAACACCCACACGCCTTATGTGCCTCCTCACCCACAGCGCGGCACGCCCTATCACCGCTACGTCCTGCTCATGTTCCCACAGGCGTCACCCACCGAGCCCATTGACATCCCCGTGTACGAGGAGGCGGATAGGCTCGGGTTCCACTTCCGTGCCTTTGCGGATCAGTATGGGTTTGACGGCTCTCGGGGAGGCGGAGCGCACATGTGGCGTGAAGTCTGGGACGAGACGGTCTCACAGATCTACCAGTACACGCTCAGTGAGTGTTTTACGTCCTCCATGCGAAGCAGTGTGCTAATGTGCTGCCCTCTACAGAGAAGGAGGAGCCTCGGTTTGGCAAGCTGCCGAAGCCAGACCCGTATGCGGAGGTCAAGCGGGTCAAAAAGTACCTCTAGACGCGACCAGCATAGCACAGACCCTATTAGTTGTAGTCACCTCCCTAATGCGACGTGCTCTCTGCTTTCCCCTGAGTTGAAGTGTGCTCCCGATAGTTATAGCTTTTTGTCTGTGTCGAGGACTTTTACGAATGCGTGAAGTGTAAGCGCTGCGGATGAGCCGCGTCGCGGCTGTGAGATCTGCAGTGCCGCTTGGCGACGACCACGGCAATAATCATGCGTCCTCCTATAACCACCATCTTCTCCTGCTTAGACCTGCACTCTTCTCCTGCCGCAGCCGTGCGCGATGTCTGAGCTCTCCGTGGGCTCGCAGCTCACTCCGAACGTGCACGACTCGTCGCCGCTCGGGACGCTCATCCGCCGAACGTCGTCCAGGCGCGCACCGGACCACAGGCCGTCCAACCTCGAGCTCCCTATCCCTCCCAGACCCTCAGGTAATACAGCACCTGCTCCGCCACACTCGCCGATCCTACACACGCAGTTCCGCTCGTCGACTGCGACTGCGTCCTCGTACTACGATGATTCGAGCATGCGCACCTTCTCCTGGGACGGCCGCTCGGGCATGGGCACCGTGCCGTCCTCGCCCTCGAGCACGCACACATACCGCGGGCCGCCGCCCCAGTCCGAGCTGGGCCCCGAGCACCCGTACGCGCACGAGTCGGTGCGTTCGTCCAACTATGACATCGACAGCATCACCGCCAGGTACCGCGACACCTGGCGCTCGTCCGGCCTTGATCCGCCCTCGGCGTACGAACCGCAGGAAGAGGTGCCTGCGCTGCCCACGGTCGTCGTCTCGACTGCACCCGAGCCGCACGAACAAACTTATGCTGTCCCAGGCCCGTCCAAGGGCGGCAGGGTCCCGTCGCGCGTCGCGAGCGGGAACGCGAAAGTCAACTTCTCGAGGCCAGGCCTGCCCGCGGAGGACGAGGAGAGAAAGCGGGAGGTGCTCATGAGGAATGCGCGAAATGCGTACTCACCCTCCCCGATGAGCTCTCCCGCGCACTCCCCGGCGGCCAGCCCGCGCTTGGGCCCAAGTCCGCTGAACTCCCCAGCCGCGCCGAACTCGCCCTCGATGTCACCGACATCACTGTCTGATAGACAACCTCTGCCATCACCATCCCTTTCGCCTTCGACGCTACAAGCGCAGACACCGACTAATGCTCAGACTCCGCGGGTCACATCGCAGATCAGCGTATACTCCAATTACTCGTACTATGAGCTGCCGCCCACTCCTCCTGCCAACGCTCAACCGCCCTCCCCCGGACTACCACCTCCCACTACGCCGACTACGCCTGCAGGTTCACATCCTGGCGGACGACCACGAACAAAGTCTTCAGCAGGACGTTCTGCCAAGGCCGAGCCGGTGAACGTTGCCGATCCCAAGACGCCGCAGGATTACCTCCAGATCGGAATTCAACACCATCTCGAGAACCGACTGGCAGAGTCGGCGGCGGCGTTTGAGAAGGCTGCGACGCTCGATGGTGGGTGCGGTGTGGGCATGCTCATGTGGGGCTTGGCGCAGAGGCACGGCTGGGGATGTGCGCAGAGCGAGGCCGCGGGGTTCAGGTGGCTGAGGCGGGCGGCGGAGCTGGCCGTATCTGATCTGGAGAAGGGCAGGCAGGGCATGGACATGGGTGCAGTCAGGGTTAGTGCTCTGCTCGTGCGAAGTTCCGTCCTTCGACGCTGATCAATCTCGGTAGTCGGAGCTCGTGCTCGCCATCTACGAGGTGGGACAGAGCTTCTACCGCGGGTGGGGCGTCGAGAAGGACAAGGAGATGGCTGTGGTGGGTGCTGGCCTTTTTCTCCTTCGCAACTGGCTTGCTGAATCGACTGCGTGCTCGCATTTTTTGCTTGCAGCAATACTTCCGCGTCGCAGCGCGCCTCGGGGACCCAGATGCGCAGCAGGAGCTCGCGTTTTGCCTCCTCAATGGCAAGGGCTGCAAGAAAGACAAGCGCGAGGCGGCGAAGTGGTACCGCGCAGCGGTGCGTCGTGCTTCCCCATATGATCCATCCTATGGTGAAAGCTGACGAGGTTCTTGCTTCATTGTGTTAGGTTGCTCAGGGCGCGAGCGATATCGGGTTGGCTTGGATCTACAAGGACAAGTATCAATGACCCTGGGCGTGTCGGAGCTTCCGATGCCTGGTCCCTTTACGCCTGTCCTCCCAAGCCCCGTCCTGCACATACATACCCTGCTCTCTATGATACCCTGGTGCCCTTCCTCGCTCGTGATGACGGTTAAGGCCGTTGTCTCCTGTGGTATTTTCGTCTTGCGTATCTGTACATCATGGTTTGTTGGGATGCTATATCATTATTCGATTCCGCCATTCACCCCTCTCTGTGGACCCATACCTGCTCGACCGTCCGCTGGCACGGCCACACGCTATAACGCCGTATACCTAACGGCTGCACTTGTTTCCACAATAGTATATAGCGCGAGCAAACATCTTACGAAGGGAACCCGAACCCAGTAAAGCAAAGACTAACGGATGTCTCATAGTAGAACTAACGCACGGTTTGAACCACCATCGTCTCCCACAAAGAATGGAAGATGTCACCTATAAATTCTTGCAGCATCGACAACAGTGTTAACGGATGGGCCCGAGCCGAGTCACAGTCACCGTTGGTACTGACATTCGCTTAGGACCCCTGCTTCATGGTGAGTTGCAACTTGCGAACACACAGGCGGACAGTGGGGATCGGACGTACTGCAGTCTGCCCGCCAGCGGGCTCACGATGGAAGACTTCCACGAAGTGCGTTGTGCAGACCGATTCAGCTGCATAAGAGTGTCCGCGGTCACACCAGCCTCCCAGCCCCGCTGCGTCTTCGTCCACATTTGATCGCTCGTGAAGCAGACGGTGGTCAGGGCTGGCGCATGCACCTCCCAACGTTCCAACCACCGCAGCTGCTGATTGGAGTCGCCGCAGTATTCGAGGGATGGCTTGGCCGCGCCGGGATTGTACGGCCCTTCCGAGAGGAGGAAGGTGTGAAGGTGAGGCATCTGTGCGAGGAGCCGTTCTCC